ATATATATATACGTGTGTGTGTGTGTAAGTGTATGTATGTATGTATGTATGTACGTATGTATGTATGTGTGTATGTGTGTGTGTGTTTATATTGTACGGGTATATATATATATATTGGCATGGTTGAGATTATCGTTTCTTTCTGAGTGTTCCCTCAATGTTTCCACATTGAATTGAGCAAGATTGCCATGGTTGTAAATGATCTATCCTTCCCCAGTATTAAAATTAAGTTCACTTAGCCTCATTGTGCGTATGCCTCTCTACCAATCAGATCCTCGGAATACGGCGGGGGAGAAGCGCAAGGAGCCCAGAATGCAATTCAGGATCGATTTCACCAAAACATGTAGCGAAGATTGGTAGGCGAACATTTTATGATGTTGCTTGTTTTTCTTTTTCTTTTTGAATTGGTTGAGTTTGATATCCATTTTGTGTACGCAAGCCCCTTCTGCGGTTGTACTAGATACTACAGCTGTAGAGATATTATGCTGTGTGGCTCGATTGCCTGGCATATAGTGCAGTATAAAAGACTAGGAAATACATGTGAATATATCATACAGTATATTAGACTAATATATACATGTGCATATATCATACAGTATATAAGACAAGTACATACATGTGCACATATCATACAGTATATAAGACTAATATAGACATATGCATATATCATTCTGCGAGTTTATTATGATTGCCCAAATGCACCATACACTTCGCACATAGCGTTCGCATATCACCTGATCCGTATACACCATTTTTACCCTTTATATTATATCATGACCCACAGACAACATAGCACAAGTCACACACCACCCGCCTTACACCACAAACCACGTATCGCACTTGTGCCTATTCTACATATTACTTTGTACGTTACATACTTGGGTATGAATCTAGCTGAGATGCTGTTCGGCGCTCAAGCAACCACAGACACTGGTACAAATAATCCATATCTCGTTCCTCAGTATACTTGGCTCTTACTTAAGTATGCTTCCCCTATGTACCACTCACACACAGGCACAAACGGCTGGCCTGCAGCAAAGCGTCTACCACGCTCTCACGCTCAACGCTAGACAAGCTCTCGGAGGCCAAAGCCACTCTACCAATGGATGTGCACTATCGCACAGACGAACTGCGGAGGTTGTTTCTCAAACCGGATTGCAAGATTGTTCAACGGAGACAAGCCGTGGCTGATGGTGGGTGTATCTGTGACGACGATCTGGTGTGTGTCTGTCT